CCCCCCCCCCCCCCCCCCCCAGTCTGAAATATTGAAGAATCTCAAACCAGGTAGAGTATCACTCTGCTTTCTTTTCTGGTTAAAAACAAACAAACAAACAAACAAACAAAGGTGGAGGGGACGCAGATATTTCTTTTGGAGGTGTTTTTGTAGGTAACCGAGGCAAGAAAATCAGCAGGCAGCCGCGTGCTATTTTTGCGCGGGGGCCGAGCGCAGAGGCGGCGGGCGGCGGGGTCCCTGCAAAGGGGCGGTTGGGGGCCGGCGCTGTCTTCTCGCCGAGGCGCGCAGCGAGCGCGGCGCGGAAAGGCTGAGGCTCCGACCTGAGCGCAGGCTGGGAGTGCCCGCCTCGAGGTCTCCTTACTTACCCACCGCGGTACCCTGGCCAGGGCCGTCTGAGGTGGCTCCTGTTATCGTGGCTGCTTTTGACGATCATGGTTAAGACCACCGGACGGACGGTCAAGCCGGTTGTAAATACCCTTCTTTCCATGTTCTTCAGGGACACCAGCCCCAGCGACGACCTTGGACGATTTCAACGCGCAGGCACCTCGATCCCCCGAATTCGTGGTGTGGCCGGTATCACTGTTCCCCTGGTTTAACTAGCCTGTTTGGTAAGTAACTGAATATTTTTTACAGCGTGTTCAGAGCTTATTTTCCAGTTTTTATGAACAAACATATAAATATATCTCTGCATTCCTGACTCTCCCATAAAAGCGGGCATCTGTGGAAAGCAGGTTTAGTTATCGGAGGGGAACCATTAAACAGCAGTTTAAGAGGCAGAGCGGGAGGACGGCTCGTGGATGTTTAGACTGCTGGCCTTAGTGATCTTGAACGCATTATAACGGAAAATGGATCTCCATTTGTAAGTCAGCGGGCCGCGCGGGGCACCAGGGCCGCGGCGCCCGCGTGGCGTGAGCATCTTGAGGAAGCTGGAGAGAGGCTGGGGCGGGGATGGACAGGGGCAGGAGCTGAAACATCCTCAGGACTTGGTTGGGAGTCGCAAAGGGAGCCGGCTATGCAGATCAGGATGCGGCCCGAAGGAGTTTGGTGTGGAAAAGGGTGTCAACCAGGACCCCACGCGGCCGTAAATTAGAGGAAGCCCAAGGCAGGGTGCACAGAAGCGTGGGCCGGCCAGGGCGGCCTGGGACTCGCCACTGGGCCTGGCTGGGGTCACCCAGGGGAGACCTTTAACTCCACCTTGGATATTGTACTTTGGAAGCAGGCAGAGTCAGGCCCCAGGCCGCCAAGGGAGCCCCACCCCACAAAGGGAGCCCCACCCCAAGGACTCGGAAAGGACAGTCCATTCCTTTCCCGCTGGGCGCTTTCGGCGGAGTCCGCGGTTGGGGATGGAAAGCGAGGTCAGTGCTAATGGCGGGAGGGGTGGTGGGGGCGCCCACCTCCTGTGCTGCGGGGGGGGGGGGGGCGGGGGGATGCAGGGCCGGCTCCCTCAGCCTTTGCAGCCCTGGGCAGCAGCGTGGAGAAATACTGTTTAGATATTTCCGTGGCTGGGCGTTAGGACAGGGGAAGATCCTCGGAGAGGGGCTAGGAAACCCAGTGTGGGAGTTAAATGTCCGTTCGGGCCCTTTCTCTCCCCTCCGCAAGGGGTCAATTTCCCTGGATGCCCCCAGCATAGCATTTTAAGGCAGAGGGCAGGGGGTGGGGAGAAGCTGAAATCAGATTTGTTGGTAAAGTGCCACTTGGGCATGGATCAAAATAGCGAGCTAGAAGCCCTCGACCCCCCAGCTTGGATGGGTCTGAGATTTTAGCACAAGCAGGGTGTTTTAAAGACCTTGTTCTTCAAGGAAAGAATATAGGTAGTGTGATGGGGTTCTGTTTACATTTTCACCGGGGAGGCAAACCCTGGATGTGTAAATACTGGTAGTTCAATCCTCTGACATGTGATACTTTTTTTTTTTTTTTAAGTCTGTTTATAAGAACACATCTAGGCCCTGGAAGCAGGTAGAAAAAGTATGATGGTGGCACCCAGGCTAGCAACAGATAACTGCTCAGGGAAAGAAGTTGGTAGGCTGCTTTCAGACCCAGAGGGAGTTTTGGGAACTGAAAGGAAGAATGGCTGAGTTGGGGACTGGGATGCTCTGTCCATCAGAGGTGAGTGGCCTCAGTGTAGAAGCCATCAGACTTGGCCACTTTCAGCCTTCTCATGCTCTTTGAATTGAAACCAAAAATGGGCAAATCTCCTCATGGCCCCAGATATCACGGCAAGTGATAAAAGAGATGGAGAACACGGGACAGAAAAGAAAAAAAAAAGTCGTAAAAGATGCTAATCTGAGCATCGGTCCTCACTGACAGTGTCATTATCAGTTAATTAATGCTGTGCAACAGTCTGGGGCTTCATGTAGCTCAGAGAGCCAGACCCAGAGACTATATACAGCCTCAGAAAGGCAATTTGGAGGCAGGGGACAAATGGGTGAACTCCAGCGTCCTTAACTGTAGTTATTAACTCGCAGAGACCAGACTGGCTGAGGGCCATTCCCAATTCACAACCAAACAAGTCCCCTTTTTTCTCATAGAGTCCTCTTTTGTACCTTTTGCTGCGGGTCTAATGGGGGTGCTGGGTTAGTCTGCTGCTTTGGAAAGCTGTGAGGCAGATCCACCTCAAGTTTGCCCCCTCCCACCCCCCCACCTCCCAGTTTAGACGATTACACAGTCTTTGCTTTCTGGTGGTAGTGGAGGAGGGGGGAGAGTGATGGAGGAGAACAGTGGGAAAAGAAAGGGAGGAGGGTGAATTTCCCAGCTGAGATGTCAGCCAGGGACTGCACTACTGTGCACGCTGCTGAGCTGTCCCCCTAAGGGCACAAGTTCCAGTACTCAAAGGGCGCAAGCATCTGAGATGCTGCAGGCTGTTGGCCACCCTGGGTGCCCGCAGGAGGAATCCTAGTGAGGGTGTACTAACTTGCCTCTCCTTTTCTGAGGCCATGGGCTGAGTTGCAACCAGTCTTACCCAGGTGGGCAGCCCCCCCGTTTGGAGACATGCTGTGATTCCTTGTCCAGTCTCCACTGCAGCTGATGGTCTACCCCTGTACCGCGCGATACGTCCGCCTCCAGCTAAACAGACAGAACCGGGTTCAACAATTTGTTTTGCGCCCATGTCTCTTGGCTCTTTCCCTTCACTCCCACCCCTTCCTCTGGAAAAGACTCAAAGAGCCTGGGAGAAGCTGAGAACTAACTCCCTTGCAGACGTTTTGGTCTTGTGAGATATTCCTTTTAAAATCAATCTGCTTTAAACTAAATATTTTTTTAAAAAACTTCAGTCTGTTTTTAGGGAAAATACAGATCTCTCGGAGGTATTTATTATTACAAAGGCAAGGGCAGTTTGTATCTTATGTTTTGCTCATGAGAACTCAAAATAAACTGGACCTGAAAAGAACCAGGCCAGAGGGCCATAAACACACATTTTATGTTTACGGGAATTATGGCTCAATTCCCTTCATCGTTTTTCAAATCT